TATAATTGTACAATTCCTAAGAGTATTTCAACAAGTTCCTCGTTTTGACACAAGATGACAGCTGTCACAGGTGACATCCATAGGAGTCTTCAAGATTTTATTAAAATTATTTTCGATTTTGTCTTAGATCTTTTTCAAAAACAAGAAATAATTTAAATAACTACTTAGGAAATGTATATTATATTAATAAATTCTTTGATTGTCCAAATTTTTCAATTCTCGAAAATCCATTCTTCATATTTGGTTTAAAATTTAGATATAGAATAGTGCAAAGTCCTTCTATACATACATTTTCTAAATATCACTAGCAATTCAGAATATTTGTTTATAATTGTACAATTCCTAAGAGTATTTCAACAAGTTCCTCGTTTTGACACAAGATGACAGCTGTCACAGGTGACATCCATAGGTGTCTTCACAATTTTATAAAAATTCTTTTAGATTTTGTCTTAGGTCTTTTTCTAAAACCAGAAACAGTTTAAATAACTACTTAGCAAATGTATATTAATCAATTCTTTGAATGTCCAAATTTTTCAATTCTTTATATTTGGTTTAAAATTTAGATATAGAATAGTCAAAAGTCCTTCTATGTATAAGCTAGCAATTCAACATATTTCAATGTGATTTTTAGAATAGTAAATGTAACATATTTACAATGCTTGCAAAGCGAATGCTATTAGATAACCGCCAATCTGAAGCGAACTATCAGCGAAATATGTTGACTTACAAGCACGACAGATGTCGTTACCGGATTGATCACCGCGCCGACAATTACTCGCATTATATGTAATTGTGTTTACAAATTAACGCTCTCTCAATTGAACCATTTTATCTGCAACAATCGCAGAAGTTTGTGTCTGCTCGAAAGACGTGACCTTTCCTTTTTTTTACACATAAACCGACTCCCCCAACGCGAAGTTGGTGAGACCTTACACATCCTCTATGTCCCGTGGCGAACAATATCGATTTGTCGCGTGACCTTGGCGCCACAGTAAGGCCTCTGTAGATTAGGGCATCTGCCATCTACAAACAACAACGGAACCGTTATTTCCCTCCCAACATATACGAACAACAAAAAAAATTAAACCATTACAACAAAATTTATTAATACAATCGCATATTATTCTGCTTAATTTATATTCAACGACGTAACTTGCTGTCGGTGAGTAATTTGATTCATGGTTTGTCCCATTAGAGAACGCTGCTTTATTTTTCCTGTTACAGCACACAATTCATCCTGCGTGCATATCGCAGAAGAACTGCAGAAGTTCTTTTTTTTTTGCTGACCCATGGGTATTTTTCCACAACAACAACAATGCTATCAACAAACGACCACAGCAGCGTTTTATCAGGAATTCGGCAATGTTTACGATTCGCAGGCCGTTGTACCCAAAACAATAACGTCCTAGTCTTCACTGTATTATACCATATAGTTAGCAATTCGCATGATAACGTAACATGTCACAATCTAATCTCCAGCAATTCGTTGATGAAGAAATAACTGCTTATTTACTACAACAACAATGAATTGAAGATGCAAGGTACAAGTGCGAAGAGATAACTACCAAAGTTCATGTTGTCTTTAACCCTGAAACAGAACAATAACAATGTCCGAAAAGATCTAAAAGTTATTTAATTCGATTATTTTCCTGATTTTTGCAATTTCTCGAAAACTAATAAGATTTCTGTAAAACTTCGGTTTTTTTTATTTCTCATATTTTGATATAATAATTGTTACAATTTTTCTTAATTTTTTTTATCATGTCTTCACATTTTATTTAATTACTCGATAACCACTAACGCTAATTAGAAGATCGAATATGCAAATTAAAGATAATATTATGGTGTTTCCAATGAGACTACTCCATGATTTGTGGTATTTTCCGTTTCCTTGTAGTACACTTTTCCCTGTAGTCCCACATTTTTTTTTTAATCAAATTTGACACTTTTGCCAACAGTTTATACCTATCAATATATTGATAATTCTTAGGTATTCTATAGATATTCCATGCTTAAATTGGTATTATAAGATTTTGGAGATACAGTACGGCATGGAACTTAAATTTCTTCGCTTTGCTGCACACACGCAACAGCAACATTTCGTCCTGGCCATGTGTGCCAGTCACCGTTTCATGCACAAAATGCATTCACTCGTCGCGAGTGCAAGTGAGACGGACAGCTCAACCTTGAACCTGATAAGACCTCAAAGCAGCAAAAAAATAATCATAATAATATAAAAATAAATTAATGAACGAGCAACTTCGCGATTGTTCGGTCCGAGCGGATGATCGAAATTGCTAGAAGATTCGAGAACAATCCTAAATCTTAATATAACCAAAATGCACTGGACCGAAATAAAAAGTAATATATTTATTAGTAAAAACCGCAGAATTCCGATGGTAATTGAACTACTCGTTACGCAGTTTCTTTTAATTGGAAACCTCACATTATTCTTGGAAAATTAACATTGTGAGAATTTGCGTAATATTCTTGGAATTTTCTTTTTGAACTTGCATTAAGTAGTTCAAATTAACATTTCAATAAATCATCAAATAATCATACATGGAAGTAGATGTTTTTGCTTTTATACGTTTTTTTGTAATTATGTTAAATCTAAATATAAGCAAATTCACTGGGATTGGAAAAAAAAATATATTTAATAGTAAAAACCGCAAAATTCCGATGACAATTGAACTACTCGATACGTAATTTCTTATAATAGGAGACTTTATCTTAAATCCAAATATAAACAAA